GGTCTGGGGCTCACGTGATAGCCTGAGTCGGGCCGTCCTGCAGGGCTGGAGCCCTGCAGCCCCTCCCCCTGGGGGCCCCGAGTCTTGTCCCGGGCCGAGCAGGTGGACAGCCAGCCTTTTCTTGCCAGGACCACGAGCGTGGTGCCCTGTACCTGGTGACCTGGGGACGGCAGGGGTGGACTTTGGGCCTACTGTCCCCTGGAGCCAGTGCTGTCCACACACTGAGTTCCCTGGACTCCGCGGGGCTGGAAGCCAGCCAGAGGTTGTGGAGAGGCCGAGACAGAGCCCAGCCAGGCCCTCGCTGACAAGTGTCCATTCCTGGCGCTGCCTCTGCTGTGGGGCTGGGAACGACGAGTGGGTGGGAGGCAGGGCCTGAAGGAATGGTGGGGGTTGGGTGTCGGGGCGGGAGAAGCCGGTGGTAAGAATGGAAGGTAGGTGGCCAAACCAGCTGGGGTGAAGTGGGGCAGGGGCAGGGCAGGGGAGTGGGAAGGGGCCGGGCAGGGGCCTGGAGGCCCGAGCAGCCTGGCTGGGAAGGGCTGCAGACGCTCTGTGACCGGGGTGGCTGGCAGCGGGCAGTGCCCCTTGACGGGTGGTCACTCCTGCCATGGTGGGCCCCCTTCCCTCCTGCAAGTGCAGCCCCGGGCCGGCCTCCCCCATCACCAGGGGCAACGCAGGCTCTCGTCCGTCAGCATCAAGGCTGCAGAGAGACAGCCTGGGCAGCATGGGGTGCCGGGTTCGTTTCTCTTGAGGAAGTTCCCAGAGGGCTTGGCTGGCTGGAGGGACGGCCCAAGTCCAAGTCCAAGGCCTGTGCTGGGGCAGGGGCCAGCCATTGTCCAGCCTCCAGGACACCCTCCTTCCCGCACGGGGGACGGGAAGTCTGCGCAGGCGGATGCCGACAGCCATGAGGAAAGGGGAAGTGAGGCCAGTGAGTGCCGGGGCAGGCGCTGCCCTGGGTGGGGCCCCACAGGCCGGGCAGACGCCCGTTTGTGATGACAGGTGATCTCGATGGTGGCGCAGAGCGGGGTGGGCTGCAGCCCCCAGCACACGCCCCGGGAACCAGTCAGCCCAGGAGCAGGTGATGAGGGAGAGGGGATGCCTCCCAGATGGCCCTGGCTCCCCCCCCCCCCAAACGCACTGACATGCCGTGGTCTGGGGGTACAGCCTGCCCCCACCTGCAGCAGGACGCCCTCGAGCCAGCTCAGGGAGACGTGCCACCTCTGACTGGGGGTCCCTTGGTGGCCACGGCACTGACCTGTCCCCCCACCCCCACCCCCACCCTAGTGCAGACAGGTGCTGCCCAGCTCCAGCAAGGGCAGGGGTCCGCAGGTCTCTAAGCCCACCAGGCAGGAGGCACAGGCACTCTGGGTTCAAAGTGCAGGTTGCTCTTCTCCCACAATGGGCCTCAGCACACAGGGTCTCCAGGCGCTGACCTGGCCCCGAGCGCCAGCCCCCAGCGAGGGCCCCCGTGCGCGTGCACACACACAGAATTCTAACCAGCTCTGCTCCACGTGACGGTCTCCCGACAGCCGGGCCACCCTCCGCGGGGCAGGCGCTTGGTGCTGGCGGCCTGCCCCGTGCTGTCCCACCCCCTCCCCCGCCCCCGCGGCCGGGCAGCTCCAGGCCGCCGAGCACGCACAGCCCAAGGACAGACCTGCCAGGCACAAGCTGTCTACAGGTGAGGCGAGGTCTCGAAGTGGGAGTGGCCGGATGGCAGCACCCGCGCCCCCCACAAGCAAAGCACAGCTGAGCTGGCAGACTGCCAGCAAGGCCCTGGGCTGCCGCAGACGGCTCTGCCCTCGGCTCTGGCCTGCCCACGGCTGCAGGGCAGGTGCCGGGAGGATGCGGCAGGGCTGGCTGGATGTTTACCAAGTCCAGGAGGGACCCGAGAGTGCAGTCCTACGCGGCTGTAAACAGAGATAGGGAGGGGCGGCCTTGCCTGCCCAGGAGGGCAGAGGCGTGGGAGTGACCGGGAGGACACAAGGAAGCCCAGGCCGCAGGCTGCTGATAAGGGGCCGGCAGGCCCTCTGGGGCTAGGGGCTGCCTGAGTGTGGAGGCCAGCCTGGTGCCCGAGATAAAGGCAGAAGCCTGCGGCTGCACTGGGGCACTGCTGGTGACGGCTACCGGCAGAGACGGAGAAGGGCCGGGCACTCGGCCAGGTCTGTTGGGGGAAGGCAGGCACGGCGGGTCCGTCATCCTCAGCGACACCCACGGGGCCCAGCTTCTGCCCCTAGCATCGGAGGAGGAAGGCTTGAAACAAGGTAACGGGGAAACACCCTGGGTGCCACGTGAAGCCAGGCAAAGACCCGGCTCTAGGGCGCGGAGCGCACGCATCACCAGCCGCCCGCAGTGCCCACGAGGGCCGCAGGTCAGCTCAGCAGACCAGAGCCAGGCGCCCGGCACACCCGCACTCAGGCACAGCCACCACCGTCAGGCCACCAGGAGCCGAGCTCTGGGGGAGGGAGGGGAGCAGGAGGCAGAGCCGGCATCGGCTGAGCTGGCCACAGGCAGCTGCTGGGGAGGCCTGCTGGCAGGAGGGCCCAGGAACCTGGGGGCGGGTAGTCTGCGTGGAGACCTGTGTCCACAGTGCGTCTCCCGGGAGCGCGGGAGAGGGGGAGGCTGGCCTGTGCTCGTCGCTGGTTATCTGAGGTGCCTGGTGGCCACACCCCGGGGCCACCCATCTGTACTGGGGCTGACCTGGGAAGAACATGCGCTGTGTACCCTTGTGGCGGGAACAGCACGGGGCTGCCCGCACCACACCTCCATCCTCCCCTTCCTGCCGCCACCACCGCTCACGGTGCTACTCGCAGCCCCGTGGAGCATGACCGTGGAGCAGCAGTGGGGACCCTGCATGTGGGCTGTGCGAGGCTGAGGGGGAGGCCCTCACTCGCGCGCCCCAGAGCGTCCTCAGGAGGGTCCATGGTAGGCGGGGCCCCGCGCCAACACCAGCACCCGGCTTCCTGGCTTTGTCCAGTGCTGGGAAGCAGCAGTGTTTACTTTACTGTAGGGAGTCTGCTCCAGGCCCTTTCTTTTGTGTTCTGAGAGCAGGGGTCTGGCCGGGCCACACTGCACCTGCTTCCTAAGGCTGACAGCTAGGAGGGAACCCGTTCCTGCAGTCTCCCCTGCAGGTCCCCACACATCACCCGCGCCGCAGGCCCCACGACCAGTCTCCTTAGCACTGGATCTGGTCGGGACGGCAGCCCCGGGTCACTGCACCCAGCCTCCCGGGTCTCCTCCCGAGTGCACAGCCTCTGGCACGGGTGCGTCTCCACGTCCAGCGGAGGAGCCCCGTCCACCCTGGGCCGCAGGCAGGGAGCTGGCCCTGAATGGCAGTCCTCCAGGTCCCTGGCTGCCGAGAGCCCAGCCGAGGAGCCGTGAGGTGGCCGTGCTCTCTGGTGCTGCCGTGCGGGCAGAGCGGTGCCTGACCTCGTTTCTCTTCTCCTCAGAGCTGCAGAGCCCGGCGGGCACCATGTGGGGCTGCAGCCCCCTCAACGAGACGGGGTGGAGCCAGGAGCCCCTGTGCCATGAGCTCCGCCTGGGGCTGGCGGTCCTGTCGCTGCTCTACCTGGCCGTGGGCGTCCCCCTGGGCCTGGCCTACAACGCGCTGCTGGTGCTGGTGAACCTGTGCCACAGGAGCGCCATGACCATGCCTGACGTGTACTTTGTGAACATGGCGGTGGCGGGGCTGCTGCTCACTGCCCTGGCCCCCGCCGCCCTCCTGGGGCCCCCCAGCTCCAGGTGGGCGCTCTGGAGTCTGGGCAGCGAGGCACAGGTCACGCTGCTGGTGCTGTTCCACGTGGCCTCGCTGGTGACCATGTACTCCACCGCCCTGCTCTGCCTGGACTACTACATCGAGCGGGCGCTGCCACGCACCCACATGGCCAGCGTGTACAACACGCGGCACGTGTGCGGCTTCGTCTGGGGCGGGGCCCTGCTCACCAGCGTCTCCTCCCTGCTCTTCTACATCTGCAGCCATGTGGCCGCCCGCATCGCCGAGTGCGCCCAGATGCAGAACACGGAGGCCGCCGACGCCATCCTGGTGCTCATCGGGTTCGCGGTGCCGGCCCTGGCTGTGCTGTACGCGCTGGCGCTCATCTCCCGGATCCGGAAGGAGGACACGGCGCTGGACCAGGACGCGGGCCGGCTGGACCCATCGGTGCACAGGCTCCTGGTGGCCACCGTGTGCACGCAGTTTGGGCTCTGGACGCCCTACTACCTGGTGCTGCTGTGGCGCACGGTGCTGGCCGCCCGCGGGGACCCCGCGGCTGGGTACGACGCCGGGCTGCTGCACTTCGCCAAGGACGTGGCCAAGTTCCTGGCCTTCTCAAGCGGCGTGGTGACGCCGCTGCTGTACCGCTGCCTCAACAGGCGCTTCCCCGGCAAACTGCAGCGGCTGATGGTGAAAATGCACTGCAGGCCCCGGCGCTGCCCCGCGGACCGCACCGGCGTCCAGCAGGTGATGGCGCACACCTAGGCGCTGAGGGGCCCCGCGGGGCCCACACGTCCCGGAGACGACCCTGGGGCCTGCACCTCGTCACGGGGCGCCCAGCAAGAGCCGCACTGACTCGAGAACGGGACGGGTGCTTCCCGCTCCCCGCAGAGGGCTGGCTCTCCTGGCGCCTTCCCTTCCCCATCACGGCCCCCACGATACCTGACAGAGAGGCCGTGCCTGCAGCAGAGCGCAGAGAAACACAGGCGTCCGGCGGAGCACCCACCCCGCACCCGTGCTGGCAGCCAAGCTGCCGCCGGCGCCGCAGGCACAGAGGCGGCCTCCCGGCCCTCCCTGGCTCTCCGAGCCCCGGCCAGCGTCCGAGGGTACAGATTTGTCCCTCTGAACCAGCTCCCGATGTGTGCCCCCAACTGAACAGAAATAAACGGAGAGAAACGCACCGTCAGGACTTCTGGAAGGGCTGCTGGGGGCGGGGGCAGGGGCTGGCACAGGGTGAAGTGGCACCGGGTGTGGCAGGGAGGGGCAGCGCGCAGGGTGGGGCTGGGAGCCCTCGAGAGCCCAGAGCCAGCCAGATGCACACCATGGCCATTCCCGCCATGCGGCCGCAGGAACACACAGCGGAAACCCCGAGTGTCTGCGGCACCGTCCCCTGGCGTCAGCTGGGACCAGCTCTGGGCTCTGTCTGGCCTGTGTGCCCTGGACACCTGGGCTCCTGCTTCCCTGTCTGCACCCGAGGGCGGAGGGGCTTCTGCCTGCGATTCTGGTTCACAGTCCGGTTCCAAGCCTGAAGCCGGGGCCCGATTCCCCCACTCCTGCTTCCCAAGAACCTGTGGCCCCATGTCTGTTGAGAAGGCCACAACCCCACCCAGGCCTGCAGTGGCTGCTGGGACCGAGCTGTCACTCACTCTGCCAGGGTCAGCCGGGGGTCAGCGGGGGCAGCTCTCAGAGAGGACAGTGGGAGGGGCGTGGAGACACCAGACTTCATCACCTGCACTCAAACATCCACGAGAAGTGAGGCTCACGGCACTCCCAACTTTCACAATCATGGACCCGTTCCGGAACGTGGGGCCCACAGCCCCCTGGGGCTGCCTCCCTGCCCACCTCCTACCGTCTGACAGATACTGGGGCAGCCACCTAGGAAAAGGGGCGGGTGTAAAATGGTACAACCATTTGGCAGTTACTTATAAAGTTAAATCGTCTGTTTATACAATTTCTATCAGTCCAAGCTGTTCCACTTCTAGGTGTTTACCCAAGGAAAATGAAAACAGACGCCCAGAGATGGTATGCAGCTGTCCACGGCCGCTTGGCAACAGCCAAGTGTCCACCAGTGGTGGACGACACAGACAGACGGGACCCCACCCCAGCACACTGCTCGGCTGTGACACGGCAAGTGACCCGGCCTCTGGTAGGGTGGCGGCCAGACTTCCCCCACACGCAGAGTCTGCCCCGAGGGCTGGGGCACGGGGCAGAGCAGACGCAGACCCTCCGGGGGGATACGAGGAACCTCCTGGAGTGCTGCAAAGGGCCTCCCTTGCGATGGAGGGATGGCTACAGAGGCCTGTACCCCGACCCAGCGTACGGGGACCCCTCGATGGCCCAGGAAGCTTGAGCCCTCCCCCAAAGGCTCTTCAGACCCACCTCATCACCTCTGGCGTGATGCGAGCCCAGGTCCACGATGCTAACACCCGAGAGGCAGTGCCTGTGAGCTAAGGGCACGGTGGCACCAGACCCAGAGAGGGGCTGATCACCGCCAGGAGCGGCTGCCCAGACTCCACCCAGTGGCCAAGGCAGACCTGCACCGTTCAGGAGGCCAGGGCCGGGGCCTTGCTCAGCAGCGAGGGGTCGCAGGGTCAGGCAAGGCTCAACGACCTCCACCCCATGCTGGCTCCAAAAAGCATCGCCCCATGTGAGAGCTCCCCAGGGAAGCATTGAGGGACTCCACCACCTCCACACAGCACCCAGGGAGACTCCACCTCCTCACACAGCACCCAGGAGACTCCACCTCCTCACACACACACACACACAGCACCCAGGGAGACTCCACCTCCTCACACAGCACCCAGGGAGACTCCACCTCCTCACACACACAGCACCCAGGGAGACTCCACCTCCTCACACACACACACAGCACCCAGGGAGACTCCACCTCCTCACACACACACAGCACCCAGGGAGACTCCACCTCCTCACACACACACAGCACCCAGGGAGACTCCACCTCCTCACACACACACAGCACCCAGGGAGACTCCACCTCCTCACATACACACAGCACCCAGGGAGACTCCACCTCCTCACACACACACACACAGCACCCAGGGAGACTCCTCCTCCTCACACACACACACACAGCACCCAGGGAGACTCCACCTCCTCACACACACACACACAGCACCCAGGGAGACTCCACCTCCTCACACACACAGCACCCAGGGAGACTCCACCTCCTCACACACACACACACAGCACCCAGGGAGACTCCACCTCCTCACACACACAGCACCCAGGGAGACTCCTCCTCCTCACACACACACACAGCACCCAGGGAGACTCCACCTCCTCACACACACACAGCACCCAGGGAGACTCCACCTCCTCACACACACAGCACCCAGGGAGACTCCACCTCCTCACACACACACACACAGCACCCAGGGAGACTCCACCTCCTCACACACACAGCACCCAGGAGACTCCTCCTCCTCACACACACACACACAGCACCCAGGGAGACTCCACCTCCTCACACACACAGCACCCAGGGAGACTCCTCCTCCTCACACACACACAGCACCCAGGGAGACTCCACCTCCTCACACACACAGCACCCAGGGAGACTCCACCTCCTCACACACACACAGCACCCAGGGAGACTCCTCCTCCTCACACACACACAGCACCCAGGGAGACTCCACCTCCTCACACACACACACACAGCACCCAGGGAGACTCCACCTCCTCACACACACACAGCACCCAGGGAGACTCCACCTCCTCACACACACAGCACCCAGGAGACTCCACCTCCTCACACACACAGCACCCAGGGAGACTCCTCCTCCTCACACACACACACAGCACCCAGGGAGACTCCACCTCCTCACACACACAGCACCCAGGAGACTCCACCTCCTCACACACACACAGCACCCAGGGAGACTCCACCTCCTCACACACACACAGCACCCAGGGAGACTCCACCTCCTCACACACACACAGCACCCAGGGAGACTCCTCCTCCTCACACACACACAGCACCCAGGGAGACTCCACCTCCTCACACACACACAGCACCCAGGGAGACTCCACCTCCTCACACACACACACAGCACCCAGGGAGACTCCACCTCCTCACAACACAGCACCCAGGAGACTCCACCTCCTCACCCACACCACACAGCACCCAGGAGACTCCACCTCCTCACACACACCACAGCACCCAGGGAGACTCCTCCTCCTCACACACACACACAGCACCCAGGGAGACTCCTCCTCCTCACACACACACACAGCACCCAGGGAGACTCCTCCTCCTCACACACACACACAGCACCCAGGGAGACTCCACCTCCTCACACACACACACAGCACCCAGGGAGACTCCACCTCCTCACACACACACACACACAGCACCCAGGGAGACTCCTCCTCCTCACACACACACAGCACCCAGGGAGACTCCTCCTCCTCACACACACACACAGCACCCAGGGAGACTCCTCCTCCTCACACACACACAGCACCCAGGGAGACTCCACCTCCTCACACACACACACACAGCACCCAGGGAGACTCCACCTCCTCACACACACACACAGCACCCAGGGAGACTCCTCCTCCTCACACACACACAGCACCCAGGGAGACTCCACCTCCTCACACACACACAGCACCCAGGGAGACTCCACCTCCTCACACACACACACAGCACCCAGGGAGACTCCACCTCCTCCACACACACAGCACCCAGGTCTCGTGACAGCACTGGCTTTTCCCAGGCAGGCCCGGGCCATCTTGTACCAGAACGCGACAAAGAGCTGGAAGACCCCATGAGTGCCAACAGGGATGGGGGCTGGCACGAAGCAGGTGCTGGCCACACTGGGACAGTCGGAGCCCTCAGAAAGGCCAAAGAAGTACCAATCACACTACGAGAAAAGCAAAACCCACGCATCCGTGGTGCCACCTTCAAGGGAAGAGAGGCAGCCTGCCGACCTCCACTCCCACCTGCACTGTCCCACACAGCCTGCAGGGGGCACCCATCCTCCACAGCTCACCGGCCCACGGCAAGAGAGGACCAAGGACATGGGACAGAGCAGAGCAGGCCAAGGCAGCACCACACAGCTGGGGTCCACACGGCCGCCGCCCCGGGCTCCTCCCTGCTCCCAGAGTGCTGGGGTTAGCACACGCCTGTGGCCAGGCGTCTGCGGGAGTACCTCAGGTCCTGTGTCAGCAGGGTCTCCCACTCTCCCCGCCTGCACAGCAGGGCGACCCGCACAGCTTCCCGAAAAGCCAGCAGGCCAGGCGAGGCTCGGGGAAGTGACCACAGCAGGGGGCTGTGCCGGGGACCGCTCGGCATGTCTCGCCCCCCGCCTCCCGCAGAGCAGCTCACACGGGCTGCCACAGCACGGGCCCCAGCGTGCCGGGCAAGGCCGCTGCCTGAGGGAAGACGCCCACCTGCCTGGGGCTCCTGTGGCTACCCACACGATGCCTGTGAGCTGGCCGGGCCTGTTCTGGTGGGGGAGTCTCAATCCTGGGGTCGTCGCCGTGGTGCAGTGGGTTAACGCCTCGGCCTGCGCTGCCGGTGTCCCATATGGGCGCTGGTTCCAGTCCCAGCTGCTCCACTTCCCTTCCAGCTCTCTGCCATGGCCTGGGACACCAGTAGAAGATGGCGCAAGTCCTTGGGCCCCTGCACCCGCGTGGGAGACCCAGAGGAAGCTCCTGGCTCCAGGTTTCAGATCGGCGCAGCTCCGGCCATTGTGGCCATCTGGGGAGCGAGCCAGAGGATGGAAGACCTCCCTCTCTGTCTCGACCTCTCTGTAACTCTGCTTCTGAAGTAAGTAAATAAATCTTACAAAAAGAAAAGTTTTAATTCGGAATCAACTTCTTTCACTGTTTATAGGACCAATCAGGTTTTCCATTTCTTCTTTGTTATCGGTAATTTGTATTCTTTTTTTAATATTTACTAATTGGAAGACAAAGTTAAAGAGGGGGACATACACACACACACACACACACAGAGAGAGAGAGAGAGAGAGAGAGAGAGAGAGTCTGCCATGCGGTTCCTTCCCCAGATGGCTGCAGTGGGGCTGGGTCAGGCCAGAGCTGGGAGGCAGGGGCTCTATCTGGGTCTCCCACGTGTGTGCAGGGGCTCAAGCACTTGGGCTACCCTCTGCTCTTTCCCAGGTCATAGCAATGAGCTGGACTGGAAGTGGAATAGCCAGGACTCGAACCCTCGCCCACCTAGGATGCCAGCACTGCAGGCGGCGGCTTAACCGGCTGCACCACCCTGGCTTCGGGAGTTTGCCTCTCCCCATGGACCTGTCGGGCACGAGCATAAAGCTGTTTCCTCATTTCCTCCCTGGCTTGGCCCCTCTGCTCCAAACCAGCACGGGGAGGAGGCAAAGGCCCAGAGTGGCCGCGCCGAGGGCCATCTGTTGGAAGGGTGGCGAAAGCTCCAGCAGACTGAACCCCAAATTAAACCCAGTCGACCAAGACAAGCGCAGGATGCAGTGAGCGGCGCCTGCCTCCCTCTGCGGCTCCGACCCCGGCCCCATCTCAGTCACAGTGCCCCCGGACACCCCACTCCACTGTCACTTCCTCCCCAACCAGTAATACCAGTAATAACACCAGTAATACCGCGTGATGCAAACCACGAGGCCCCGCGCGGCCCAGGCACAGGACACGATTTCCTGCCCCCTCCTCAGCGCCTCGCCTGCACACAGGACCACCCAACAGGTGCGTGGACCCAGGAGGGAGCGGGGCTCGTGGTTAGGGCTGGGCCAGTGTCCGCCAAGCATGACTGAGGGCGCAAGACAGAGCAACTAGGAGCAGGGGCAGGAGGCACAGACACAACGCAAAGCTGAAGCACCTGGAAACCTCGCAGGGGGACCGAAAGGCCCGGCACAAGGACCCACACGTGCCCGCATCAGCACACCCACCAGGGCCACCAGGCCCAGCTGACACAGACACCACAGGTGGCTGAGACGAAGCAATCCCCGCCCCACAGCAGCAGGGCCAGGAAGGCCACAGGTACAAGCATGGCCCGTGCCATGGACGGCGGCCCCAGGGCACCAGGCCAGCAGCAGAGTGCTCCCAGGGACACTGTGCCAGCACGGCAGGCTGGGCCATAAGAGACCACGCATCTCACACACGGGACTGCAGACGCGGAGGAGCACACGAGGGAGGGGACGGGCAGTGCTTGCTGGCCAGGGCATGCGTGGGGGAGGGGACGGGCTGGGGGGGCAGTACTGGATGACCAGGGCATGCGTGGGGGAGGGGACAGGCTGGGGGGCAGTACTGGATGACCAGGGCATGTGTGGGGGAGGGGACGGGCTGGGGGGCAGTACTGGATGACCAGGGCATGTGTGGGGGATGGGACGGGCTGGGGGACAGTACTGGATGACCAGGGAATGCGTGGGGGAGGGGACGGGCTGGGGAGCAGTGCTTGCTGGCCAGGGCTCCACAGGGAGCCATGTCCTGCACGCTTCACCTCCCCTCCCCCAGTGGAGCTGACGTCCTCCCCTCCTTAGCACAACCTGCCTGCACCTGGTAGGGGTGCAGTGCACCTGCCTTGGGGGGGCGGGACAGCACAGTGCTCGCTCCCAGCAGGAGGCAATGGACGGGTCCTTGAGGCACCTGGGGAGCGGGTGTGGCGTGTGCACGGGGGTCCAGCTGCGAGGTGGAGGTGGCTGGCAGGGGTCCAGCCAGGGCAGACACAGGAGCTGGACCACCTGACACCCCGGGCAGGCTGCCCCAGGCCAGCTCTGCTGCAGACTCAGGAGGTGGAGGCGAACGCCGGCCGACAGCAGGGCCGGGAGCACGCGGTCAGGACGGACGGCCAGGGCTCCGGGAGATGCACCCGTGGCTTCCTGCGAGTTTCTGCGGGCACAGTCAGTGACCAGAGCTGGACTGGGCGCTGTGCGAGCCCCCACAGCTCAGCCCGAGGAGCAGCCTCGTGCAGACGTGGCTCCTTCAGAAAGCAAGCTGGTCCATGCCACTCCGGGACCGCCAGGGCTGTCTCACCACCAAACGTGCGGCCTTCTTGGCAAGGCCAAGGGGACGGACACTGGGGTCTGGCCTGACAGCTGTGTCGGCGTGGGAGAGCTCAGCCAGGGCCTGGCTTGCAGGGTCATGAGGAGGAAGTCTCCTGGGGTAGCTCAGGGCCCGCTATTTAAGTTGTTGTTAACTTTGAAGATTGATTAGGGAGACATTTAGGTAAAGAGAGAGCTTCTATCCAACGGTTCGCCCCAAATGCCCAAAGCAGCAGAGGCCGGGCCAGGCCAAGAATAGAAGCTGGAACTCAATGCGGGTCTCCCCCTGGGGGCCAGGCACTAAACCCAGGCCTCTGCTGGGGGAGGTGGCTTAGCTCTGTCAGACCCCGCCCCGCAGGGCCCACTTGAAGAGGCAGACAGCGGCTGCTTCCTGGGAGGGGCTGCGGGCGCAGGAGGAGGAGGAGGAGGAGGAAGCCGCCGGGCCTCAGGCACTGGGAACCTGTTACTTTTTCCGTCTCCCCACAAGGGCTGATTCGAATGCTTCTGGGTCACATGGGCAGACCCAAGACTGCTGCAAATGCAGCTGTGTGGTCTGAATGGCTGCAGCCCAGATTCCTGTCCCTTAGAGAACTGAGGGTTTCTGTGCCCGCCTGGCTGCGCCCAGAGCAGGGAAGGAGTGCCGGCAGCAGAGAGGAGGCCCGGGCTCCAGCAAGCCGCCAGGGAGCCGGAGTCCAGCACAGGTGAGTTCTGGCCGGCCAGGCCCCGCCGGCCCCTCCGGGAGCAGCCTGCCAGGCCTTGGTGAGACGGGGAGTGCAGCGGCTAAGGCCGGGGCTGCCACGTCACAGCAGCCTGTGTGGGACACCGCCCTGGGCACAGAGCCTGCAGGGGGAGGCGGGTCGGGGTCAGGAGCCCAGACGCCCAGAGGGTGATGCCGGGCAGAGCCTGGGAGGAAGCTCAAGGGGAAGGGGGGGGGGGGCAAGTTCAAGCAGGCAGGCCCCGGGCCAGCCTCTGATAGGCTGGTCTTTGGAGGACGGGCTGGAGTCGGGGGGCTTGCTCCACACACATCCCCTGACCTGGGCATAGACACCTGGCCAGTTCCGGCCCGAGGTCTGTCCACTCCTGCTGGCCCACCCCTCGGCCCCGCCTCTGGACAGCCGGGGTGGTGGGACTGCTTCCACCAGGGGCAGGCGGTGTCTGGATGAAAACAGAGCACCCGTTAGCACCTTGAACACTGGTGCTAAGGGCGTGTGGCAGGAAGGTCACGGGTGTCTCATGGGGGTCCCCAGGACGTCCTCACCCATGCAGAGGGAAAGGTGTGCCACAGGCTTGGGTTCAGGGTCAGGAGGCGGTCCCCCACCCAGCCAGGCCCACTGACCGCCGCCTGAAGCTCCCCACTACCCAGGCCTCCTGGAGGGAAGTGCTCGTGTGTGAAGCCACTCACGGGTCTGCAGTGTCTGCGTGCGTGCGCACATCTGTGCGTGACACAGAGAGCACATGTGACTTCCCTGGAATACACAGGAAGAGCAAAACGGAAGCCACACTTATCCTTTCACTTCAGTGAGGTTATTTTTTCCAATACCCTGAAAAAAGACACTCAAAACAGTCCCGGAAGTGGCCAGGACGGAGCACAAGTGGAGGGAGGCCAGGAGCCACCCGGGTGCCGGCACACGCGCAGACAGGGTGCACCGTCTGCTGAGACGGCCGGAGCTCCCCACACCCGCGGCCCACGGCCCGGTCAGCCCAGCCGACCACTTGCGTGGAGGTGACACCTGACTCATCTGCCACCCCAGTGTGTGGAACAGAGACTGGGACAGAAACTCTGTCAGAGCCAAGAGCAGGGTACAACAGCTCAGCCCTCCGCGGGGGAGGGGAGGGCGCAGGGCCCGCCCACTCCTCCGTGTGATCCAGGACCCGTCAGCCCTCACTGCTGGGCCCCATGCCCACCTCTGACTCCTGGGAAGCAGCCAGTCCGAAGGCCCCCGGAAGGCGTGGCCGCCACTGCTCTGACACCACCAGGCTCCGGGGCCGGGGACGCAGGGCTGCTGTGGCAGGAGTGGCTCCCAGAGCCCAGCAGGGCTGCCGTGGGGGACAGTCCCTCACAGGGAGTCCCAGGGCTGCCCGCCTCCCCCAGGCAGCCGCACACAGCCACGCCCCCACAGAGGGAGCACATGCGCCCACAGAAACCTGTCTACACATGTTTAAAGTGCGGTGTGACAGCAACAACGCAGGACAGCTCTGCAGACCACCCCTGGACGTGCGACAGCACACGTGGGCGTCCAGCGTGCCGTGCCCTGCAGAGGCGGACTGGAACAGCTCCACAGTCGTGAGAGCCTGGAAGAGCGACAGCTGTAGGATCCGGCAGCACCCGCCCGGCCGGGGCAGCACGGGACGGGGGCCGTGCCGCAGGTGGGAGGGGTGGTGGACAACCCTGCACGATGTGCACAGAACAGTCACTCTATCGTACGTAAGTTCTGAGGAACGACGCTTTGAGAAAGTGCAGGTTTTCAGGCGAGCTGGGTTCTGGTCCTGACTGTACCATGCGCTGGGCAGCCAGGAGCAAATGGCCTCTCTCTCTGACTCGGTCACCCCAGCGCCACCTGCTGGGGTGGACACAACACTGACGGTGCTCCAGCCAGCAGCCAGCACCCCCGCCTGGCCCAGCCAGACCCGAGAGCCTGTCCAGGCTCAGCCCCCAGAGCACAGCCCCACTCCAGAGCGCGGGGCAGGGGACACAGCGCCTTCAGCTGGAAGAAAGGAGTGGGGCAGGGGCGGGGGGTGGGCAGACGGCTGAGCCTGCCCAGCAGGGCTGTCGTGACCCCAGGCTCCAAGCGGCGCTCAGCCCTGGACTAGGAGGTGACGTGGAGGGCACCAGGCCGGAAAGGGGAGCGCTGAGGGCCAGGGCAGGCAGCCCCGGGGCAGCCCCGTGAAGGTGACCCTGGGCGGGGCGGGGCGAGCAGCAGCCCCCAGAACCCTTTGCTGTAAGGTCGCAGTGCCGGCCGCACAGGTGGGGACACCCAGACTCCGGCCTGTCGCCCACCCAGACAGCGCAGTCCGGGGAGAGCAGCCAAGGCCCCATGCTCCGAGCAGGCTCCATCTGCCCCGGGACAAAGCTCCGAGGAAGGCGCAGCGGCAGCCCCTCCGGTGGGCCCAGAAGCGCAGGGCCGGCCCCAGCCCAGGCTCCAGGCAGAGCCGGCCGGCGCGGGCAGGGGTGCAGCGCAGTGCCGCCAGCACCAGCAGCCTTCTTCCCAGTGTGCCCACGGAACGCTCCCTCCCAGCCACTTCCTCTCGGCTGGCTCACCCATCTTAATTTCCGAGCCACACGTGTCTCGGGGATCGCTCATCACCTGCGGTGCGGGCACATGGACAACATCAGAGCTCACTGTCAGACCAGAGCCGTGAGCAGACCACGTGCCTCCCGGCTGCGGAGGCAACAGTCACACAGGGCCCAGCACAGCACCCAGGACCCGCTCCCCAGGGACAGCCGGCCTGCCCTGCACCCAACACAAGCACCCAGGACCCGCTCCCCAGGGACAGCCAGCCTGCCCTGCACCCCATGTGTGTGCTCAGTACAGCACCCAGGACCTGCTCCCCAGGGACAGCTGGCCTGCCCTGCACCCCACGTGAGCACCCAACACAGAACCCAGGACCCACTCCCAGGGACAGCCAGCCTGCCCTGCACCCCATGCGTGTGCTCAGTACAGCAGCCAGGACCCGCTCCCCAGGGACAGCCGGCCTGCCCTGCACCCCCACTTCAGGCAACGGTACACTTCCTTACACACTGAACATCAGTTAAAACATTTTTTAAACCTCAGGGTGGCTTCTAGAAGTAAATAAATAAGTAATCTAAAAAGAAAAGACAAGACAGGAACCACCAGGCAGAAAGGCAACGTCCAGCCCCGTGGACACTGCTTCCGCAGCGCCCAGGGAACCAGGGCCGTGCAGGGGCAGTGGGAGGGGAGCACGGTGGGCCCCCGGCCCACGCCCAGGGAACCAGGGCCGTGCAGGGGCAGTGGGAGGGGACTGCCAGGGGCCTCAGAGAAGCAGAAGCAAACATTCTCTGGAGAAGAGAACTCTTGCCAAAGTGACTTCTGAACTCAGCTCCTCACGTGTTCAGGTGTAACAGCCAATACTTACATTTGAAAGGCAGGGTTATACAGAAACAGGTAGAGAGAGAGAGAGAGAGAGAGAGAGAATGCAGTCTTCCATCTGCTGGTTCACTCTCCAAATGGCTGCAATGGCTGGAGCTGTGCCGATCCAAAGCCAGGAGCCAGGAGCCTCTTCCAGGTTTCCCACGTGGGTGCAGGGGCCCAAGCACTTGGGCCATCTTTCACTGCTTTCCCAGGCCACAGCAGAGAGCTGGATCAGAAGTGGAGCAGCCGAGACTAGAACCAGCACCCAAATGGGATGCCAGCGCTTCAGGCCAAGGCGTTAACCTGCTGCACCACAGCGCTGGCCTCTGCTCCACTTCTGATCCGGTTCCCTCCTAATGCACCTGGGAAAGCAGCAGACGATGGACCGAGTGCTTGGGCTTCTGCACCCACGTGGGAGACCCGGAGGATGCTGATGGCTCTGGCCTGGCCCAGCCCTGGCTGCTGTGGCCATCTGGGGAATGACCCAGACTTCTCTTTCTGCCTCTGCCTCTCTGCAACTCTGCCTTTCAAATAAATAAATAAAACTTTGGAAAAAAAAAAAAAAGCAGAACCTTGAGATATAAGAAACATAAAAATTAAATTTTAGAACCAAGGGGGAGTTAGTTTTAGATTAGCCACAGCTAAAAAGAGATACTGGTGACAGGTGTGAAGTCACATGACAAGGCGTCTGGGGACAAGGGGCCGAGGACGCAGGCCCAAGAGCCGCACCTCCGACCACACGTCCGGACGCAGCTCTCTCCACCCTCGGGCAACACAGAGCTCTGGAGGGCTCTAAAGGCACAGCTACAGCAGAGGGAGGGGTGACGGTGTGTGCGGCAGCTCGGCACGCGGCACGGTGGCCTCGAGACCAGGCTGCGGGCTGCACGCCGCCCGGGGAGGGCCGGCTCAGTGGCGGACGCGATGTCACCGGCAGGCACAGAGTGGCACCGAGGGCGGCTATGTTTCAGGAAGAGAGCTGGCTGCCCCGCATGCACACTCCCGGTCTGTCTGCGACGGCAATCACTGTGTGCACTGCGGGCCTCCCCTGGAGCTGCGCTGGCTGAAGGAGGGTTCCCGTTTACCGTCGTCAATTCCCCAGCCACATCCACTGCTTAGTTAACGTTCGGGGGGAGGGGCCCTCTGGGATGGAACGATGGCTCAGGGAGCTGGCGTTCACGTCCCCTGTGACAACCACGGCACGTGCTTCTGTTGCAGAGCTGGTGACACCCGAGATGGGCACCCACAACATGTCCTGGATCCGGTACCCGAGCCAGGTGTCCCCGGCCGTGGAGGACGTCATCGCCTCCCAGAGCGTCGTGGCCAGGTGCACCCAGGTCTACGTGGCTCTGTTTGTTCCGCTAAGCCTGGCCACTGGGCTCTTCAACCTGGCCACCTTGATCCGGGATCGCACCAGCCCGGGGGCCCCGAGCCTGCTCCTCCTGGGCCTCACGGTCACCAGTCTTCTGCTGACACTGTTGTCCCTGAGCGCCGCCGGCAGGCCCGACTACCTGCTCACCACCAACCTGGGCTGTGGAGTCCTCTCCTTCCTCTCCAACCTCTGCTACTTCAACGGCCAGTACCTGCAGGCAGCCATGTGCGTCCTGTTCCTAAGGCCTGGCTCCTCGTCCTGCCTGCGCGTGGGGGGCCAGGGCGCCCGCAGGCCTGCACTGGGCCTGGCCGCCGTCCTAGGCTGTGCCTTCTGCAGCTCTCTGGTGCTGGTGGCCCTGCTGGGCACATCGGGGGAGCTCCATGACAGCACCTTGTGCCAGCTGGACCCACTGACGGCCTGGCCCGAGTACGAGATCATGAAGTTCAGCCTGGGCTTGGGGCTCGGGCTCGTCCTGCAGCTGGGGTGCTGTGTCCTGCAGGCCATCCCAGCGGCCAGGCAGGCCACTCCGCCCCGCAGGGACGCGGCCTCTGCCTGGCCGGTCCTGCCAGCTCTTGCCCTGAACATGCTTGTCTGCAGGCTGCTCTACAACGCCGCGCTGCTGCGCCGGGCCGGGCTGAAGCTGCAGGGGGACATCGGCTCCCCCAGGGACGAGCTCCTCATGAACCTGGCGGAGCTGCTCCTGGGTGGCGAGAGCTGTGCCAGCTCCCTGGCCACCCTGACCCTGCACCGGCCCTGCAGGCTGGCCCTGCTGCGCGTGCTGGAGCGGCTCACTCGCAGGTGCAGGCGACGAGGGGCTGAGGCCCAGGGCCCACCTGCCGGGCACAGCCACACTGCCAAGCGACAGAGTCCTTCTGGAGTTGCGGAGACGCCAGCCCTCGGCTAAGCCCACACGCGCCCAGGGAACGCAGCAGAGCACCGTGACCGGGCCGACGGTCACCTCCCGGGGAGCTGCCTGGGCAGCGCGGCGAGGCGGGAACAGAGGCCGGGTCTGTGCTGGGCGGAAGCCGAGAGACCAGCGCTCCCGCCAGGTGATGGAACAGAAGCTTGGGAAAATAAAGGCGGCGCCCGGTCCCCGCGCGGCCAGGCTACGCTCAGGTCCTGCGCAGCACCAGCGCAGCCGTCAAAGCTGGCAGGGTTGGGCGCCGTGATCTTGCCCAGAACAAGGGCTCATCATTCGTGCGGTTCTTCTGTTTGTTTCTGAGAGACAGCGAGTTGCTACCCACGGGTTCACACCCGCAGTGCCCACACCCCGGGTGGGGCTGGGCTGAAGCCAGGTCTCCCACGTGGTTGGCAGGGACCCAATGACCGGAGCCGCCGTTTGCACTGCCTCCCAGGGTGTGCACTGAGGACGCTGGAACTGGGAGCTGCAGCCTGGTACTGAGCCTGGGTACTCCAACAGGGCCCAGAGTGCCTAACTGGCATCTCTCTCTCTTTTTTTTTTAAGACTTATTTATTTTAAAGGCAGCGTCGCAGAGAGAGAGAAGTCTTTCATGAACTGATTCACTCCCCAGATCTTGGCTGTAACGGCCAAGGCTGAGGTGAGGAGCCCGGTACTTGATCAACTTCTGCAGCTTTCCCCAGGCGCGTTAGCAGGGTACACCCCGGCCGCTCACGTGGGATGCCGGTATTGCAGCCGGTGGCCTCACCCGCCATGCCACACGCCGCCCGCTGACCTGGAGTCTGTACCACGGGTCGAACGCCCAAGGGCTTACCCGTTAAAACCTCGTCACCACCACTGGGGCTCTGAGGCCATCACCCATCAGCAGAAAAGCACCAGCAGTGGGAGGAGCCCCGCGGCGGCGAGGCAGCCTTGCCGGCTGCCCCAGTGCACAGTCAGGCCGGCTCCGGGAGCTCTGTGGGTCGTGGGGCGGGGCAGCTCCACCTGTCACAGGCCCCCACAGGCCCCAACACTGACACATGAAACACACACAGAGCCCAAATCCCATTCCTCCTTCTTGTGGACTCGTGTGCGGTTTCTGGGAGGAATCAGAAGGCAGACGGGGAAAGCCCAGACCTCGCGCCCCGCTCACCACGTCCGCACACCCACACTCTGCACCCCGCTCACCGCGTCCCCACGCCTGGGCCCCAAGCCTCGCTCGCTGCGTCCGCACACACATACTCTACACCCCGCTCACCACGTCCTCACGCCTGGGCCCCACGCCTCGCTCGCTGCGTCCACACACCCACACTCTGCACCCCGCTCACTGCGTCCCCACACCCACACTCTGCGCCCCGCTCACCGCGTCCCCACGCCTGGGCCCCAAGCCTCGCTCGCTGCGTCCGCACACACACACTCTACACCCCGCTCACCACGTCCTCACGCCTGGGCCCCACGCCTCGCTCGCTGCGTCCACACACCCACACTCTGCACCCCGCTCACCGCGTCCTCACACCCACACTCTGCGCCCCGCTCACCGCGTCCCCACGCCTGGGACCCACGCCCCGCTCACTGCGTCCACACACCCACACTCTGCGCCCCGCTCACCGCGTCCCCACGCCTGGGCCCCACGCCCCGCTCACTGCGTCCACACACCCACACTCTGCACCCCGCTCACTGCATCCCCACGCCTGGACCCCACGCCCCACTCACTGCGTCTGCACACCCGCACTTTCTCCAGAAGGAAGATGGCCGGGTCTTATGCAGTCAGCAGCTCCCATAATGCACCACTGCCTTTCTCCCCCTCAATGTGTCATTTCTACCTCCGACTCCTTCCTACAGCCAATGTGCCAGTGAGGTGCAGAGGGGCTGGCGAGGAAGCCAAACCAGACAAGGCCGGGGCAGTGACCGCTCCAGGTGAACATGGCTGGCGGGCCGCCCAGGCCCCCGCCCAGGAGTGGACTGTGGCCAGCCGTCAGACTCGCAGGAAGCACAGTGCCTCTGGCAGCTGTAACCTGGGCTGACGGGGCAGACTCAGCCTTAATACACAGGTGGGCCCTTGCTGGGTCTCCACTGCAGCTGAGGGTCAGAACACCAGCCGGCCTGCAGGAGCTCTGTCCCCGGGCACTCCTGCCCCGCCTCCTCCTCCTCAGGGCTCTCCCAGGAGGTGGGGTGAGCTGGGCCACACCCTGCTGAGATCAGAGTCTGCAAGGCTCCTGTCACCAATGTCTCCCTGTCTCTAACAGCTGTGGCAGGGACACTCACCCAGAGCCAGGACGGAGTGGACCCGGGGCAGCGGAAAATGGACTGCAACAGCCAAAGCCAGCACAACAGGCCCAGACGGGTGGATTCCAAGGCCCGGGTGCTTGGTGGCTCGGACAAATGGCTGGTTCTGGAACCAAGGCAGACAAGCAGGCGGACCTGGGGCACCTAACCACGTGGGGCTTCCAGTTTTTCCGCTAAAGGAATCATCGTAGAAACAACCACAGGGGCCACGGTTGGGACGTGGTGGTTTAGTAAGGCGGTCGCCTGTGTCCCGTATGGAGGCTGGTTCGAGTCCCGGCTGCTCCACTTCCCACCCAGCTCCCTGCTGTGGCCTGAGGAAGCCCAAATCCTTGAACCTCTGCCCCAATGTGTGAGATCCGAATGAAGCTCCTGGCTCCTGGCTTCGGCCTGCCCCAGCCCTGGCTGTTGCGGCCAACTGGGGCGTGAACCAGCCAGCGGATGGAAGACCTCTCTCTCTCTCTCTCTCTCTCTCCAACTTTCAAATAAAAATCAATTTAAAAAAAGAAACTAACCATAAGCATACAGAATGGTGGTTCTCAAAATTTTTTCTTTCTAGCCGCAAGATCTTTCCTTTAAACAAAAGCTGCTAACTGCGAGAGGTTTAAACAGCCTCCGGGGAGGGCGTTTGGTCTTAGCAGCTAAGACACTGGTGGGGCTCCTTAGTGATGTGCACCCTGGGAGGCAGCAGTGACAGCCCAAGCGCTGGGCCCCTGCACCCACGTGGGAGACCTGGAAGGAGCTCCTGGCTTCAGCCTGGCCCAGCCCCAGGGATGGACGCTCCCTGTCTGTCTCGGTCTCTGTTCTCTCTACTTCTCAATTGAATAAATATAATTTGAGGGGCAAAGAATGAAAAAGGCACCGTGGCTCACTGGGTTAATCCTCCGTCTGCGCCGCTGGCCTCCTGTATGGGCTCCGGGTTCTAGTCCCGGCTGCTCCTCTTCCAGTCCAGCTCTCTGCTGTGGCCCGGGAGTGTAGTGGAGGATGGCCCAAGTGCTTGGGCCCTGCACCCGCATGGGAGACCAGGAGGAAGCACCTGGCTCCTGCCTTCGGATCGGCGCAGCGTTGGCCGTGGCAGCCATTTGGGGAGTGAACCAACGGAAAGAAGACCTTTCTCTCTGTCTCTCTCTCTCACTGTCTAACTCTGTCAAATAAAAAAAAAATAAAAAAAAAAGAAAGAAAGAAAGAAAGACAGACAGACAGACAGACTCTGATCTGACTGGGGTTGGGGGAAGGAATGGACCCCAGGCCCCACCAGCGGCCCCACCAGCTCTGCCCCTGCACCCAGCACTGGCACTGCCTGAGCCCTGTGCGTGTGGATGCGGTGAGGACAGAACCTACACACACGGAGCCGGGGGAGCCTGTGGCCACAGAAAGCCAGAGTGCGTCCGGGGCCACCCGGCAGCGAGAGGGCACTGGCACCTGGACAGAGCGCACGGAAGCTTGACCGTACAGACAGAAGCAGAACTGAGTGCTGGGGGCGGGGAACAGTCCGGCGCTGCTGGTGGTGGGGCTGACATGGACCAGGCCCTCAGCTGCCCCTCCTGGAGTTCCAGCCTAAACGCGGGCGAGGCGGCCTCCCCGGGCGGAGCTCCAAGTGCAGCTCCCTGTCCTGGAGCTGGAAGCTCCAGCTGCCACAGGTGCGCTCCTCCAGGACTCTCCCATGGTGCCAGCAGCCGCTGAGAGCTCCCACACACCCCAGCACTCGGCCGGGGGCTCCCACACCCCCTAGCACTTGGCGGGGGCTCTCACACCCCCTAGCACTTGGCTGAAGGCTCCCATACACCCCCTAGCACTTGGCTGAAGGCTCCTACACCCCCTAGCACTCGGCCGGGGGCTCCCACACCCCCCTAGCACTTGGCTGAAGGCTCCTACACACCCTAACACTCGGCCAGGGGCTCCCACACCCCCCTAGCACTTGGCCGGGGGCTCCCACACCCCCCTAGCACTTGGCTGAAGGCTCCCACACCCCCTAGCACTTGGCGGGGGGCTCCCACACACCCCAGCACTTGGCTGGGGGCTCCCACACAGGCCCCACCAGCACTTGGCCGGGGACCCCCACACCCCTCCCCCTAGCACTGGGGGGGCTCCCCCACACCCCCTAGCACTTGGCCGGGGGCTCCCACACCTCCCCAGCACTTGGCCGGGGGCTCCCACACAGGCCCCACCAGCACTTGGCCGGGGACTCCCACAACTCCCCAGCACTTGGCCGGGGGCTCCCACACCCCTCCCCCCTAGCACTTGGCTGGGGGCTCCCACACAGGCCCCCCCAGCACTGTGAGTTCCTCATTCTGGAGGAGCTGGGAGACAAGGCCGCAGGGACACTTCTCTCCGGGAGACGGCCCGGGACAGCACTCTGCGCACACAGCACGGGCCGCACCCGGGGCCTCGCTGCTTCACACGCCGGCGGGGCCAGGATGCCCATCGTGTCCCCCCACGGCAGGCCACGCCGGGTCTGGAGAGCGAGAGCATGGAAGGAGGCACCCTGGGTGCGAGGGGAGGAAGCCGTGAGGCGCAGGCTGGCGAGAGCGGGGACCAGCTATTTTTACATGTCATGCCTTGGCTATTTCAAGGCTTGAAATTTTATTTTATTTATTTAATTCAAGAGGAAGTTGTATTTTCTCATGACTCATTCTTTCAAAGCCGTCTCGGGCATTTTAATGCTGAAACCCTCCCGGCTTCATAAAGCCTCCGAGGGAACGGGCATCCGCCCAGCAGTCAGGCGCCTGCATCCCGCGCGGGGCACCTGCGTCCACGCCCTGGCTCCGGCTCCTGCACAGGCACGGCCTGGGAGGCAGAGGGGGTGGCCCCAGTGGCTGGGTCCCTGCCACCCACACGGGAGACCTGGAAGGGGCTCCCAGCCTCCGCTGCAGCCCCAGCCCCAGCCCCGGCTGCTGCCGACGTCTGGGGAGTGAACCAGCAGATGGGAGATCTCTCCGTCTCTACGCCTCTTACATTAAAAACACAGCATTTCTAAGAGCAAACCCGTGTTCTACTTTATCTTTCAAAAAAAAAAAAAAAAAAAAAAAGCAGCACACCCTGGAATCAGGCCTCCTGCGCGGGCGGAACTCCGAACGTTAGTGATTTTCCATAAAACAGCACCGTGTTTTCTGCCTAAAAACATGTGCATGCCCCAAAATCCCTATCAGAGACTTTAAATCACCCTTACCCAGAACACCACAGGCCGGCACAGGACTGCCCCAGAGGGCGGCAGGGGGCTGGGCAGAGCAGCAGCGCACGGGGGCTCCGGGAGCCGCCTGCCTGGGCCACAGCCACCGTGCTCTTCACACGCCAGCTCACAGCTCCACGACGCGGGTACACCGAGCGTAACACACCGGCTGTGGTCTGGGGCTGCCCGACACCCTCTCAGGGACCTCCTCCATCCCCTGGGGCAGCCTGGCCCACGGTGCCAAAGCTGAGGGTGGGGCCCTTGGAGGAGGCAGCCAAGGCCAGGCAGGTCGGCCCCTGGGGCCGTGGGGAGACCCCTCATTCCCAGGCGCTGCAGCAGGTGCACTCACACAGCTTCCGGGGCAGCCGGGAGGGGCCGGGGAGCCCATGAGGACACTCAGGGCAGAACTCCAATCCCTGGGCTTCTGCCAAACCTATGTTCTGTCTCCTGGGCTGAAGTTTCTCTTTGCAGATATCTGTGACATTCATGAGCTACATTGTTTACGTGCTGTTCACACGCTACTGTGTTCACTTAGGACACCCAGTGCTCCGCCCATGTCACCGAGAGGACGGGTTAGCCTCTCCCCAGGACGACGCCCACCACAGCATTCAGACTGGGAAAGAGCTGCGGCAGGGAAATGCCCGGAAAACCTCTCCTGGGACTGTGCTCGCGGCCACAGGCGGCAGGAAAAAGGGCCAGCAAAAAAGGGGTTAAAGCCGCGCACGGAGGCGCCCTGTGGCCCTGTGAGAGCCAGGCGGCTGGCCTGGGAAGTCTATAAAAGCAGGCGGCCAGTGCTGGCCAGAGCCAGGAGCCGGGGCCAGACAGAGCAGGCCACTGGGGGTCCTTCTGCTCAGCGGTCCCGCACAGGACCACCTGCAGTGAGGTTACAGGTGCGACTCCAGCCCGGCAGGACCCAGACCCAGGGCCGGAGAGAGAGGCGGCTCTGAAGTGCGGACAGCCAGCAGCACCCAGCCTGACACAGGTAAGACCTGGTCCCCACCCTGGGGTCTCGCTGAGGCACTGGTCCTGCCAGGGCTCATGACAGGACACGGGTGTGCAGTGCCAGGGCACTCTGGGGGGAGGAGGCGCCCCCTGTGAGCCCGCACCCAGACGTGCAGGGGGATTATGCCCGCCCCCCGCCCCAGACACAGCCCACTGGGACAAGCAGTGGGACCACAACACAAGGACCTGAGGCGCTGCCCGCACCCCCCTGGGCTCCCGAAAGACCCCACCGCCACAGGAAGGAACGAGCGATGCGTTTTTCGCTGCCCCTCCCCCCGGCCCATTCCACACACCCCAGGGCCGAGGGTCTCTGCTCTCAGCTTCCTCTCAGCTGGGCCTCCTGCTCCCACAATTTCACATTTAAAGAGCAGAACAAGGACTCGGTATCCTCTTATGGAGAAACCACAGCCAGAGCCCCTCAGCGTCACGGACGGTCCCTCCGGAAGACGAACACGGAACACAGAACCCCAGGAGCGCCAGGCAGAGCTGCCGGGACGGGTGTGGGCCCCCCACGACCTCGAGGGGAAAGAACCTGCCACAAGGGCACAGCAGGTCGGCGTCTGGGGTAGCTCTTGGCAGGGGTGGGGCACCCTGCCCCGTGCACGGGGAAGCCATCGGGGGAGTGGCAGGACCACGCACACCCGGCCAGGCCCTGCGGGAGGCTCGGGGCCCAGGCTCCACGCTGCAGATGGCATGGCGGAGCCCGGCAGGCTTGATGGTGGCGCTGGGTGTGGGAGCAGCCCCACTCTGCTCCTCCCCCCTCGCTCGTTCTCGACTCCGAATGCAGCGCCAGCATTCGCCCAGCGGTGACGAGAAGGTCCCATCACACGATGCCAGCCCCACCCCCACTTCCAGGACAGCCGGTTCTTCCCTCCTCTCCCGAGTCCTCGCCTCCACTCCACTCCGGCTCCACAGGGCCTGGGGCACAGGCTGCTTCCCACCCGCATTCCCCCTGCTCCCCTGCACAAGGCCCGGCCCAGCCCTTCTCCCACGTCACACCGTCACCTCGCCACAGAGCCAGGCCAGGGCCAGCTGTCAGACCTCGCTGGGGCAGCCCTCGGCGCCGCGGCTGACGCCCACAGCCCCACACAGGGCCTGGCCCAGTGGCCCAAGCTCCTGACTCCTCTGCTGAGGCCGACCCTGGGGCAGCGGTGATGGCTCCCCTGTCGGGGAGCTGGACCGGGCTCCTGGCCCCTGTCGCGGGCTTCTGGGGGAGAGGGGGGAGCCAGCCACTGGAGCTCGCTCTCTGCCCTCAAACAAGGAGTTTCCTAGAATTTGTGACAAAAGCCTGGCCCCAAAGAAGAGACGGAATCCTCTCCCCTCTGCTCCTCACAGGTGCTCCACGACGGGAGGCTGTCCGGGCGCAGCTCAGAACAGGGCAGACGGCCCTGCCGGCCCGAGGTCACCAGCACCGGCACCGGGGGTCCCAGACGGCCGCAGTGCTCACCCCTACGCGCTTCCTGGTACCAATGTGCGGCTCACCCCTCCGAGAAGCCCCTCTCTGCCTGAAGATGGACTCGCTGTCTAAAGATCTCTCCGACCCCTCTGGCAAATCCTGAAAGCGGCACAGCGTGAGGTCCATCCGGGCACCATGCAGCCTGCCGCTGCCAACGACACCTCTGCGGAGCTCAACCTGTCGCAGCCGGTGCCGGGCGCCGCCCTGGGGAACCAGACGGGCCTCTCGGAGCACCAGCAGTACGCCATCGGCCTGTTCCTCTCCTGCCTCTACACCATCTTCCTCTTCCCCATCGGCTTCGTGGGGAACCTCCTGATCCTGGTGGTGAACATCAGCTTCCGGCACAAGATGACGGCCCCCGACCTGTACTTCATCAACCTGGCGGCCGCGGACCTGGTCCTGGTGGCCGACTCGCTCATCGAGGTGTTCAACCTGCACGAGCAGTACTACGACATGGCCGTGCTCTGCACCTTCATGTCACTCTTCCTGCAGATCAACATGTACAGCAGCGTCTTCTTCCTCACCTGGATGAGCTTCGACCGCTACATCGCGCTGGCCAAGGCCATGCGCGCCGGCCTGCTGCGCACCAAGCAGCAGGCCAGGCTGAGCTGCGGCCTCATCTGGATGGCCGCGGTCTCGGCCACACTGGTGCCCTTCACGGCCGTGCAGCTGCGGCACACGGAGGAGGTCTGCTTCTGCTTCGCGGACGTCCGGGAGGTGCAGTGGCTGGAGGTCACACTGGGCTTCGTCATCCCCTTCGCCGTCATCGGGCTCTGCTACTCCCTCATCGTGCGGGCGCTGGTCAGGGCCCACAGGCACCGCGGGCTGCGGCCCCGGCGGCAGAAGGCCCTGCGCATGATCTTCGCCGTGGTGCTCGTCTTCTTCATCTGCTGGCTGCCCGAGAACGTGTTCATCAGCGTGCACCTGCTGCGGCGGGCGCAGCCCGGGGCCGCGCCCTGCACCCAGTCCTTCCGCCACGCCTACCCCCTCACCGGCCACATCGTCAACCTGGCCGCTTTCTCCAACAGCTGCCTGAACCCCCTCATCTACAGCTTCCTCGGGGAGACCTTCAGGGACAAGCTGAGGCTGTACGTGGAGCAGAAGACGAACCTGCCGGCCGTGAACCGCTTCTGCCACGCCGTCCTGAAGGCCGTGGTCCCGGACAGCGCCGAGCAGTCAGAGGTGAAGCTGAGCAGCGCGGTCTGAGGCCTCGCTCGGGGGCCCCCGTGGGGTGCCGCTTCAGCTCCTGTGCCCTGGCCAGGGTCACCCTTGGGGCGACTAGGGAGCCCCCCTGCAGGCCCTTCGAGACATGCGTGGCTCCTGCTGCAGCCCAGGGACGCCTGTGTGTCCCGCAGCTCCTGAGTGCACGCACTGTACAAGGCCGTGACAGGGACAAGGAAGGCACTCAGTGCAGCAGAGCCACGAGGCTCCGGCCCCTGGACACAGAGCGTGCTCCACGGGGTGTGTCCAGGCCTGGGACCCTGGCCTGGGGTGAGAAGGAAGCAGATTTCTCTGCTGGGCCCTGGGCACCCACTTCACCGCCCCTCCCGAGATCCCCCAACACTGCAGGAGGCGGGCCGGGTGGCCGAGAGAGCTGTGGGCATGGGGGTGGCCGCCAGCCGCCACAGTGGAGCACTCCCACAGTGTGGCTGAAGGGTTGGCCTCTGCAGAGAGCAACCATGCAGGCAGTGTCACAATGTAACTCCTCATTAAAGTGTGCAGAAAAGGAAATGGCCGTCCGCGCCTTCGCCTGCTGACTCTCGCAAGCGCTCCGCGGAGTCCCCCCAGCGAGCTGTGTGCCGGGGCGGGAGGCGCTCCTTCCTCACCAACACCCCACGAGCTCTGCCCGACCCGGGGCTCCGGCCGGCTGCACCCGGCACCGCGGTCTGGCATTGGGGATCACCACCAGCTGGGAGCTCCTGGTCCTGCCGACTCAGGAGACCTGTGCAAAGCCCACCACCAGGGAGCCCTGAGGTGAGCGCCTGAGCCCTCGAGCCAGCGTCAGGGCTGCTCCCTCCGACGCGACGGTATTTCCACCAGCGACAATCAGTTTACAGGGACAGCCCAGCCAGCAGACAGGATCGGGGAGAGCCGGGGTGGGGGGATGACGGGGCGAGGCTGACGCCCACAGCCAACCAAGCAGAGACCTCCCCCCACCGCGCTCAGGAGTGTGCGTACTGCTGGTGCGGCTGCCTGGGAAACTGGGGAGACTTGGCCCAGACCGTGGCGGCATGGCAACATCTCCAGCGCCTCCAGTCCCAGCCGGGCTTGTTCCCTGGTCACACGGCCCAGCTCTCCAGCCCCACGCCAACAGCCTCCTCCAGGTGGCTCCCGACAGCGACAGGGCAGGCACAAGCAGAAAAGCCCCAGGGGTGCCAGCAAGGCTCACACACGTGTCACACGGCACCCAGGCTCACACACGCTATATCACATGGCACTGAGCTCACACACGTGTCACACGGCACCCAGGCTCACACACGCATGCTGTGTCGCACGACACCCAGGCTCACACACGTGTCACACGGCACCCAGGCTCACACATGCTATATCACACGGCACCGAGCTCACACACGTGTCACACGGCACCCAGGCTCACACGTGTCACACGGCACCGAGCTCACACACGCATGCTGTGTCGCACGACACCCAGGCTCACACATGTGTCACACGGCACCCAGGCTCACACACGTGTCACACGGCACCGAGCTCACACATGCTATATCACATGGCACTGAGCTCACACACGCATGCTGTGTCGCACGACACCCAGGCTCACACACGTGTCACACGGCACCCAGGCTCACACACATGTCACACGGCAGCGAGCTCACACACGCATGCTGTGTCGCATGGCACCCAGGCTCACACACGTGTCACACAGCACCCAGGCTCACACACGCTGTAACACACGGCCCCCAGGCTGTATCACACAGCACCGAGCTCACACACGTGTCGCACGGCACCCAGGCTCACACACGCTGTGTCACACGGCATCAAGCTCACACACGTGTTGCATGGCACCCAGGCTCACACGCTGTGTCACACGGCACCAAGCTCACACACGTGTTGCATGGCACCCAGGCTCACACATGCATGCTGTGTCACACGGCACCGAGGGGTCGTCCCCAGCTGAGGCACATGTGGGGAGCTTCCCTGTGCCCCCAGCCTCCCGGTACAGACGCCTCACCTATAGCCCTTGCTCTGGAAAGGGGAGGGGACGTCAGATGCTCCCCCGGCTCCAAGTCCCCCAGGACAGGACAGCCCCTCCCTGCAGGATGCACAGGGCCCAGGAACCACGGCTGCACACTCCAGCTGCACACTCTGACAGGCAGCAGCTCTGGGACGCACTCGGCACTGGTGACAGAAACGACCCCCCGACCACCACCACTGCAGAGCGCCCATCTGCACACAGACCCCACAGCTCAGTCCCCTGGCCTGGAGAAGTGGGGAGGGGCAGTGGTCAGAAATGACCCCCCCCCACCACCACCACAGAGCGCCCATCTGCACACAGACCCCACAGCTCAGTCCCCTGGCCTGGAGAAGTGGGGAGGGACAGTGGTCAGAAATGACCCCCACCCACCGCAGAGCGCCCATCTGCACACAGACCCCACAGCTCGGTCCCCTGGCCTGGAGAAGTGGGGAGGGACAGTGGTCAGAAATGACCCCCACCCACCACAGAGCGCCCATCTGCACACAGACCCCACAGCTCGGTCCCCTGGCCTGGAGAAGTGGGGAGGGACAGTGGTCAGAAATGACCCCCCACCACCACCACCACAGAGCGCCCATCTGCACACAGACCCCACAGCTCGGTCCCCTGGCCTGGAGAAGTGGGGAGGGGCAGTGGTCAGAAATGACCCCCCACCCACCGCAGAGCGCCCATCTGCACACAGACCCCACAGCTCGGTCCCCTGGCCTGGAGAAGTAGGGAGGGACAGTGGTCAGAAATGACCCTCCTAGGCCGGCGCCGCGGCTCACTAGGCTAATCCTCCGCTGCTTCCGCTCACTTCCTGCCGATGAGCACCTGGGAGGGACCAGTGGACACCCAGGCTGAGCTCTGGTCCACCCTGGATGTTGTGGGCATCTGGGAAGTGAGCCAGTGCATGGAAGATCTCTCTTTCTGGCTTTCAAATAAAAAGAAAATAAATTTTAAAAAATTTGAAAAAGAATCCATGAGTCCATTCCAACAATAAACAGATATAAATAAATACAACTTAACCCCAAAGCACCACAAACAGCAAATAAAATAACAGACAGAGGGCCTGGGCGAAGGCGGAACCGCTGCCTCCGGCAGGCACAGTAAGACAGGCGCGGGCCAGGGTCTGGAGGGAGGAGCTCAGTGCTCGGCCCGCAGAGCCCGACGCCCCCAGCCTCAGCACAGGCAGGCCCTGCACGGGGCAGCCGCGTCCGAACCACCACTAAGGGGACGGCTGGGGCCGTCGGCCCGAGTCTGTGGGAGGCCGTGCGCCCGAGGCTGCCCAGGAGGGAGCCGCGGCAAAGCCCAGGCAGGGCAGGGAGCCGGGCCGCACGGACGGCTTCTTGTCAGGAGTGACGGCGCCAAGCCAGGGACAGCACAGCAACCTGGCAGGCCCAGTACCGACCAGATGGCCTCCACCAGAAGCAAGCAATGCTACAAGTCCATCACGGGCTCCTGACAGCGCGGGTGCACGGGGTGCACGGGGTGCACGCAACACGCGCGAAGGCCCCTCAGCCGAGGATCGGATCCAGCACACCCTGCTCACACGCATGCAGTGATGTGCACACCCACACACGTGCCGCAGTGCTCACACTCACATCCACGCTGCAGTGTCCACACCCACACACATGCCAGTGTTCACACCCACACACGTGCCGCAGTGTTCACACTCACATCCACGCTGCAGTGTCCACACCCACACACAGCCACAGTGTCCACACCCACACACATGCCACAGTGTTCACACTCACACACGTGCTGCAGTGTCCACACCCACACACGGGCTGCAGTGTCCACACCCACACACGGGCTGCAGTGTCCACACCCACACATGGGCCGCAGTGTCCACACCCACACATGGCCGCAGTGTCCACACTCACACATGGGCCAGTGTTCACACACACGGGCCGCAGTGCTCACACTCACATCCATGCTGCAGTGTCCACACTCACACACGGGCCGCAGTGTGCACACTCACACACAGGCCGCAGTGCTCACACTCACATCCACGCTGCAGTGTCCACACTCACACATGGGCCAGTGTTCACACACACGGGCCGCAGTGCTCACACTCACATCCACGCTGCAGTGTCCACACTCACACATGGGCTGCAGCGTCCACACTCACACACGGGCCGCAGTGCTCACACTCACATCCATGCTGCAGTGTCCACACTCACACACGGGCCGCAGTGTGCACACTCACACACAGGCCGCAGTGCTCACACTCACATCCACGCTGCAGTGTCCACACTCACACACGTGCCACAGTGTCCACACTCACACACGGGCCGCAGTGTTCACACTCACATCCACGCTGCAGTGTCCACACCCACACATGGCCGCAGTGTCCACACCCACACACGGGCCGCAGTGTCCACACTCACACACGGGCCGCAGTGCTCACACTCACATCCACGCTGCAGTGTCCACACTCACACATGGGCCAGTGTTCACACACACGGGCCGCAGTGCTCACACTCACATCCACGCTGCAGTGTCCACACTCACACATGGGCTGCAGCGTCCACACTCACACACGGGCCGCAGTGTCCACAACCACACACGGGTCGCAGTGTTCACACCCACACACGGGCCACAGTGTGCACACTCACATCCACGCTGCAGTGTCCACACCCACCCACAATCCAGTGTCCACACCCACACACACGCAGGGCTCACACACACGCACACACGCACACACGCTCCTGCTGAGGTGCTGGCCAGTCCTGAAGCGGTGCACTGGGCGTCCGGCTGCCTCTGTGTCCAGCCCAGCTCCCCACTGATGTGCAGCAGACCTGGGCGGATTCTGGGTATCCCGGCTTTGGCCTGCTTCTATCCTCTCTGCTTTTCAAATACAATGAAAATAATTTTCAAAAAGGAAAACAGATGAGGTGCCGACACACATGAACGAAGTCCAAGACCATGTGCAGAGGCAGCCGCCACACACGGAGGCCCTCGTGCTGTGAGCTTCCACACACACAGCAGGCAAGTCAGCAGACAGACAGCAGGTGGCGGGGCTGGCGCTGTGCGCAGAAGGGGAAGCCTCCACCTGCAGCACCAGGATCCCACATGGGCGCTGGTTCTGCCCCGGTTGCTCCTCTTCCAGGCCAGCTCTCTGCCGTGGCCTGGGAAGGCAGTGGAGGATGGCCCAAGCGCTGGGCCCTGCACCCCATGGGAGATGTGGAGGAAGCTCCTGGCTCCCGGCTTCAGCCTGGCTCAGATCTAGGCATTGCAGCCAACTGGGGGGTGAGCCAGAGGATGGAAGATGGGAGATTTCTCTCCCTCTCTCTTTTTCCTTCTATCTCTGCCTTTCAAACGAATAAATAAATAAATACCCCCCCCCCAAAAAAAAAAAAAAAAAAAAAAGGTAGCAGGTTGGCGGCTGCCGGGGCCACGGGGAGTGATCAGAAAGGCAGGGAGAACGCCGTGAAGTCAGACAGCGGTGCCGGCGGCACAGCACATGGCCACAGTGGACACCACAGCCGAGAGCGCTCTCCAGCCCACGTCCCACGGGGCACACGCGCCGTCCAGCAGC